GCATTCTTTGGCAGAGAAAGTTCAAGACCTGTAAAACTACATAATTTCATCCTATTGAGCAAGGGCAGTGAAAGTGGGTTCATTTTACAGCATAGATGCACCACAAGGTGTTCATTTCCATTTGGTGTTCTAGCACTTTTGTTTTTAAAGAAGGAATTATAAGTGTGCAGCCACTGGAATGCACATCTTTTTTGACCAAATGACAAAGTGTGAACTTTTTGCTACTGTGCATTACATTTGCCTGCAAATATTTTATTTATTTATTTATTGGTTTTAGGGTTTTGAAAACTGAGGTGCACATTTGATTGCACCTCAATGCAATCATGGTGCATTAGACTCACGTAAATAAGGTAATATCATTTGACACTACTTTGATGGCCATGGCTCAATGTTATGGGAACCTGGGAGTGCTGGGGATTCTCCAAATTACGAGGGTTGAATGAAAAGTAATGCCTCCACCTTTGTTACTTGGGTTTGGATGGGAATATCTTAATTAAACAAATGCAGAAATAATCCTTACAATCTCCTCTTTAACTACTAGTATTCACTTTTCCACATAATCACAAGGCAATTGGATACATTTCTGCCAACAAGTTTTCTGAAGCTGTCACGGAAGAAGTTGACACTCTGTTTCTGCAACCAGCATCTCTCAGTTCTCTCGACGTCTTCATCAGAAGCATAATGATGTCCCTGCAAATCTTCTTTCATTATCAGGAACAGATGGAAGTCAGATGGTGCTAAATCTGGACTGTATGGAGGATGCCATACGGTGGTGAGATCCTGTCTCTGATCTTTCAATTGTCAGCATCCTGGGTACTCACCGTGCACAGATCTTCCGATAGCCAAGCAAAGCAATAATGTGACCCACAGGTTCTTGTGAAATGCCGATTATGCTTGAAATTTTTCTCTGAGTGATATGACGATCATCCAAACTCAATCTGTCAATCATTTGTTTGTGAAACTCAATGGTTGCTGTCACAGGACATCCAACTCTTTGTTTGTCACGCAAGTCAGATGTTCCCACCTCAACATCTTTAAACTTACTCGCCCAACAATGCACAGTACTCACATCAACACAATCATCATCAACAGCTTGCATTCTCTGATGAATCTCCTTTGGAGTGACACCTTCTGCTGTCAAGAATTCAAGGACTGCAAGTTGCATAAGTCGCATTGACCGTCCGTGTCAGCTCCAGGCAGATGCTGAAACAGGGCCATGACTCCAAACTGGCGGGGCACTTTGGATTCACAAAGACTCTTAAGCTGATTGCCTGTCAATTTTGGTGGTCCACAATGCGCAAGGATGTCAAAGACTACTTACAGGAGTATTCAACTTGTGCAAGAAACAAACAAAAGGTGGGCAAGCCATCAGGGTTGCTCCAATCGGTGGCAAACCCTACCCAACCTTGGACTGAGATAGCGATGGACTTTATAGTGGACCTACCTGATAGCAATGGTCATAACACTATTTGGACTGTGATTGATTCTTTCTCCAAACAGGCACACTTTATACCTCTCAAAAAACTCCCCTCCGCCCTGGAGCTTGCCAGGCTGTTCATACACCATGTCTTCAGGTTGCACGGGTGCCCTCAGATGATTATAACAGACAGAGGCACTCAATTTACATCACGGTTCTTGAAGGGCTAGGCAAAACTACGGTGAAGTGGATCTGTAATTAGTTAAATGGATGAACCCAGAGGGCATTCAGCAATGCTTGCTCTTCATCTTGGAAAGAAGTGACAAGTGGAGTGCCGCAGGG